AGGAGACTTTTTGCATCTCAGTGCCGCTCTCTCTTTTTGAAACAGAGAGTACCACAATGGCACTCCTTGAATGCTAAGGGGTGCAAAGGTGACCTCCCTTCGGGGGGGATGGAATCACCATCGTCAGCAAACCTCTTTCGTTGTCTCTGCCTCCACTGCCTCACAATCGACATGCCTCTCGTCTCTGTAGTGCAATCAGTTGAAAGGGTTGTGCAACGAGATGGGACTTTTCCATGGCTTGCCAGGCAGAGCAGCAACTGACTCCCCTGGGCAAGGATCAGACTGGCTGACAATAAACAATGCAGGTCTTGCAAAGCACCCGAACATCGCTCGATGCAGTGGCCCTCTTGGTCACAGCTTGGTGGGTGGGGCGAGGCCTCTTTGATAGGCTCCGCTGCACTCCGCTCTTGCGCTGACCATGCCGACCGACTTTCGTAGTGAATTCAGGCCCTTAGTTAGTTAGCAGTCAGCTTTTGTCGTTTTCACATGTCTCACCCTCGTACAGAGGAAACGCGCTCAGATGAGGGGGAATCGGCCTCTGGCCGTGGTGGTTTTTTGGTTTCTTGTTCTTGTTTTGGTTTGGTGGGTTTTTGCTCGTTTTGGGTCGCTTGTGTTCTTTTCCCCCTCATCATGTCGTGTTTCCTTCCCTTTCAATGATGACCTGGGCACTCCGCCCACAAGGCGTCCGCACTCGTGGAAAAAAAAGGTCAGACCCCGGCGCATCTAGGACTGGTTCTGGCCGCCACGCATCATAAAAGTAAATTCGGCGGAGGGCTTCGAAACTGTAGTCCTGCGCCTTTCTGCTCGTCTCTGCGCCTGATTTTGGTTGGTAGCGTTTGGAACATCCTACACTGCACCTTCGGCCAGGATCCGTGCTGTTGTGCAGCAGTCTCCAGTGGCCTGACTGTTGCCCTTCTGGTATGACCAGCCATTCCTGTGTTTGAATAGCATCCAGGGCGTAGACAAATCGAGCCCATGCTTGGCCGTGTGGCTCCCCTCAATCCAAGTGAGCTGCAAGCTGCCTACTTTCCTGAGAAACTTTGCCCTCCGCCCCCCAACGATGCTACGATTCCATCGGATCAACTCGTAGCAATTGAAGCATCCTTGTCGCAATCTTCGCAGACAGAAGTAACCTCCGCACTCAACTCTCCAAGTGACCATCCCATGCAAAGTGCTGACCCAAAGCCACCATATGCTGTTTTGAGAATGTTTGATGGGTGTGGTTCTTCCTTGGACATTCTCATAGAGAAGTTTGGCTATCGCCCAAAGGTTTGTCTATTATGTGAACGTGATGAGACACTCAGACAATGCTCTGTGGATACACAGTCTCAAGGGAGGAATTTTCTTCTATGCAAATGATGTTGATCTCATTTTCGACGACAAAGCCAGAATATTGAGGGAATTTGTTACCCTCGGTGACTACTGCCACGTTTTCGTTATTGGAGGCAGTCCCTGTACTGACCTAACGTATGCAGGCCAGGAACATGGTCGTCTGGGTATCTGTGGCTCTGACAGTGTTTTCTTCTTTACGATGCACCTAGCTCTATATCTTCTGGGAACTGTCCTCCCAAAAACGCACATTCGTTTTCTCATTGAAAATGCTGGATCCATGCACTATGATCATTTCAGCTTCATCAGAGCCTGTCTAGGTCTCTCGCATATTACCAGAGATAAAATGACTTGGTGTACTTCCAAGATCTCGCCTGCAAAGCGGCTGCGACTTGGGAATCAAAACAATCTCTCCCATGACACGATTGACTCTCAAGCTCTGTGCCACGATGATCTTCATTGGCCTGATGATTGGAAGCCGCTGGCTATACATGACAGAGGAAGGGTTCGCGCTGTTTTCATTAAACCTTTCACGAGGTCTCTTGAGGTCCTCAGTGACATTGCTCTCCGACATAGTTGGACCAGTTATCATCCGGCAGCTTTACTGTGGAGAGTCTCATATTGGCACTCGCATGACCGTTTCGTTACCTTGGCCAAGATGTTTACTGACAGTTCTGTACCCGCCTTTCAGTGGAGTGACTTCATCCCTGCCATCTACTATCCGGCGTGGAGACGTTTTCTCTGCTGCTTCTACAGCAAAACATCCTCCAATCCAAAAAAGATGCAGCATTACGAGACGTCCTCCCGCTCTTTCACAATAACAGCATTCAGGGCTGGGCATTGGCTATGGCTGACTTCATGGCACTGCTTGATGCAGAGAGTGCGTCCCATCAGATGAATGTCAAGCCATTGAACCACATGGCATGGAGATTGAACCCTTTGATCAGGACTGTTTACCTTGCCCATGAGCAGGACCACTACACAAGCAGTTCCCATGCAGAGCAGCTGCACTTGGTCATCACCAAGAGCCTAGGGGACTCCAGGATTATTGAAAACATCCACCAGCGTGGGAGGGACATGGAAAGAGCATCCAAGAATGACTGGCTTGGTGACACAAAGCTGATGGCCCATGTTCTCAGAAGTGGCTGCTTGGAGGAAAGGAAAGTGGAGATGGTGAGAGCCACCAATGCTGAAAAGGTTGTGGAGGATTCTGCCTTCATGAAAGAACCTATAGCCAAGAGGCTCACTTCAAGGGGGCACAAACTCCCACAGAACCTTCAATCAATGATGCTCCCAAAGAGCAAGGACAGCGCATGGCCAAGCCCTACACCAGCTGGCCTGTTTGATTCTGTGTGTGCCACAGAATGGGTCTTTGAGTACTTCGGGCAAAATGGCCATCAATACCAATGCAACATCAACCAGTCCTGGTTGACAGTGCTTGCTGGAAGGGGTTGGTTACTTGCACAAAAATCAACAGCATGCCTCATCAAGGTGATGGCAGGGAGTGAATTTGCTTTTTTGGGCTGGAAAGCTGAGGTGTCACACATGGGCACCACTACCTGCTACACACTCCCACCTTCCAAAGAATGCATCAGGTTCCACCATATCTTTGACCTTGATGATTGGGTGGTGGTTTCAAATGAACCCATGCTCCTGAACGAGGCAAAGGGCCCTTTAGCATGGATGAAAAGTGGTGAACCAAGGACTTTGCAAGCCTATGCTTGCTTGCAAGGCTTCACTACCTTGACCAGCCCTCATTTGACAGCGCTCATCAAGCATTTGGGTGGAAAGGTCCCAGGCAATGCCTCCAGAAAACAAAGGCAAGAATTGCTGATCAAGATGTGCTTGACAGAGGCAGAGCAGGCCCAAGCACTTGCAACATTGGAGGAGTTGGGTAAAACCCAGGAAAGGGATGATGAACTGGATTCAGAATTCAGTGAGATCCTCTCTGACCTTGACAAGGAGGAGGGGAACCAGCAAGATATTAGGGATCTGAAGGATAGGAAGAGGAAGTTGCGCGCCAAGAGGAAGATTGCAGCCAGAGATGGGCCAGTGGAGGCAAAGAAGAAAAAAGGTAAAGGCAAAGGCAAAGGCAAAGGGAAGAAGAAGGGGGGAGGCAAAAACAAAGGAAAGAAAGGTCATGACAGGGGTGGCAAGCCTGGAAAGATCCCTTTCTTGCATGCATTTGCCAGGAAAAGGGCAAGGGTTGCACATCAGAGGCATTGCCAAAAGAAGAGGCCATGGAAGTTGTTGAGCCAGCAGACCAATCCAAACCTCCTGACGAGGTTGCTGATGAGGAGGGTCCATTACCCAGCTCTTCCAGCAAGGGGCCAGGAGCTGCACAGGCAGCTGATCATGAGGAGGGCCCACTACCAAGCTCTTCCAGCAAGGGGCCAGAACATGTACAGGCAAAAGCTGAGGCCAGGGGTGGCGATGAAGGGAAGGGTGGCATCAAGAAGGTGCACAAAAGCCCAGAAGAGATTTTAGGCCAGCTCTCACCCCCTGGCTGCTTCATTGGCATTGGTTACAATGCATGGAGATTCCAATCCAATTTCAAGGTCAAGCCAGCAGTCAATGAGGCTTTGCTGCCACCTTACAACAAAAAAACAATGAGCCAGACCTTCCACAAGGTGCGCTCATGGGAGGCAGCACTTGAGCAAGTGCACAAGTTCAATTGGGAGAAGTATCAACTCATCAAGCATGAAGTGCATCCCTTGCCCACAGGTGAGGCGGCACAAACCCCAGGCAAGATTCCTGACCAACTCTTGGAAGCTTTGAGGCCTGTCATTCAGAAGATGGAGGAGCCAAAGAACTATGCCAAGAAATAGTTTCACCTGGGATGCAAAGCACCCAACATATAAATCAGCAGGGCAGCAAAGCCTGGAGAAAGAATTGGTTGTATGACATGCATAAGTAATAGTGAAGCAGTGCATAAAATAACCAACTTAAAGGTTGAGCAAAACTCCAAAGTGCTGTGCTTCTGAAGCAGGAATGAAGGGTTGTGAAATGCAATTTGCTAGCAATGATGATGGCTGCCACCTGCAGCAAAAGTCATGACATGAGTAAATGACTGGCAACTGTGCTTGGGGTGGGGGGTTGTGGTTTGGGATGGGGGAGGGTGGGGTGTGGGGTTGGGGGTGGGGAGAGGGTGGTGTGTGGGAAGGGTGGTGGAAAGGGTTGGTTGGAAGGGTGGTTGTCAAGAGCTGTGCTTGAAAAAGAGTGAGCCCTTCTTTGGAGGGTAGTGTGGCCTCAAAAGATGCACATGTCAATTTGGTTGAATGGAATGCATGCTTGTGCATTCAATCAGTTTTTGTATTTTTGCAAACCTGCTGCCTGCGCCCTGAAGGTGGTTGAACCCTGGCCTACTTTCTTTGAGGAGGCATGGAGTGAGTGAAGATGGAAGCAATCATGCCTATTATATAGAAGGGCTTCCCTGTCTACTTTTTTGTTGGACTTTCCATGGAAAACTGGGTTCAGTTGGTGGAAGCTCACAGTCATTGCTTTTGTCAAAGGCATATTTTGGCACTTCACTTCCCAACCATTGCACTGGTTGGAGGCCTCCCCATGAAATTGCATTTCATCAGTGTGCTGCATGTTTCTTTGTTTAAGTTTGGCGTAGCATGGGTCTTGCATTCTGCCAGATTGACACCTGCAGGTTCCATGATGGCAATGGCAGGTCTCAGACTGCCAGAACAAGTTTGAATGTGAGAGATAAACAATCAGTGCTGCAATGCTGTTGGTGGGAGGGCTTGGCTTGGCAACAATAACCTCAAAGGTTTCCATAGTGATTCTTTTTGGAATGTTCAATGCTACAAATCATCCAATGCCTGCATTCATACAATCATTCAAGGCCCCTTTACCTTAGGACAAAAGCAACCTTGTCTCTCTACACTCTAAGACCTCCTCTCAAGAAGTCAACTGTTAAACTGTTACCCCTATGGGGAGGTCAGGAAACCATGCACCTACCACTGGACCCAATGGTCAAAAAGTTTGACCTGGCCAATCTGCAAATCTTGGCCTGCAGGGGTGTGTTGTGAAAACCAAGGTTTTTGGGCATGAGATTTTATTTACCCTTCCTATGCACATGCGCACTCAAATCAAGACTCTTGGTTCTGGGTGCAGTGAAGTGCTTTGCTGGTAGCTCTGAAACAGAACACATGTGTGGCACTGCGGGACCATTGGTTTCATCATGGGGTGGAAAGAAATGCATGTGATTGCTTGCTGGTGTTTTGTATGTTCAGCTTTGAGATGTTTGGATCTGAAGGCATTAATAATAAGGTTTTTGCTATGACCATGTTTCTTGGTTTAATGCTTTGGGGTGAGCTGGTCTATTTCAACATCGGCTTGTGCGTGTGTTGTGGGTATGTTGAGGCTGTTTGTGTTGCAACAACTTTGTGTGTGTATGTGGGTTTGTGTAAATATTTTTCATAAACCTATACAAATAAGTTCATGCGCTAGGATGTACTGCAAAGCAATTACTTTGGAACTGTCTCTTACTTGCTCAACTTGAGCTTGTTATTTGCTTAGCCTTTCTTAGGCTAGCTATGGAATGGGCTTAGCCTTTCTTAGGCTAGCTATGGAATGGGCTTAGCCTTTCTTAGGCTAGCTATGGAATGGGCTTAGCTTGTCTTAGCCTTTCTTAGCCATTCATAGCTTCCCCAAGCTTTTCTCAGGATCACTTAGGATTACTTGGTTCTCTACTCTATCTATACTACACTGCCCAAATCAAAGCGGCCTGTTATGAAGCAATACCTTAAGTGCCTCAATGATGCTTGGAGACGCGGTCATCACGCTCAGCAGCATTGAGCTTTCGCACTGGTGCTTGATCAGTGGCCTCAACCTTGTCCTTCAAGCTGTGGACGATCAATGTGTGGGCCTCGAAAATGAGCCGCTTCAAGATGGCGAGCTGGGCCAAAGGCACTCTGGTCAGGCCAAGGTTGTTGAGGAAATCCTGCTCTCTGCAAAGTCAGCCCGGAGCTAATGAGCCACTAGCGCGAGGTGTGTGAATTTCATGATTTAAAGTTATGTCGATTGAACAATTGAAGGACATGCTGGGTCAAACATGCATGGACACGTTCAGGGCAACTCAACGGGCTCAACTTTCTGGCTCGGCACAGGTGAACGCATTCAAAAAATTCCGGGCTAATCCTTATGGAGTGCTGGGGCTGGTTATTAACAGCCTGAAAGAACCTAAGATTACGGCCCCGGGGCCCCTGGTGGGGCCGAGGCGTTGGAAATGCGGTTCAATAGGTCCAAAGGTGGTCCAAAAAAGGTGTGGACCGGGTCTTCGTCCGACACCATCAATTGAAGTTCTTGAATTGTGTCTTTGGTTGAAGCGATGCACGAACGAAGGTGGGCATTCTCCTTGTATTCCCTCAAAGCACCCCAGGGCTGTACAGGCCCAAGGTGCCCGAGGCTCTGGACTGTGATGTCATCGCCGGTGCACTCTCCATTCGAAATGATTTGGACACGAGCTCGGCGAATCAAAACATACAGGTAGCTCAAAGGACCTAGGGATGCGTCATTGCCGATGACGAAGAACATCAAACGGATGGTCTCAGCCGCTAACTCGAACTTTTCGAGACATGTCTGTGTCCAGGTCGAGCCGACCGACGCGCTTTCGGCCCAGGTCACCGTGAGTGAGGTAACGGAACTTGAAACGGCCGCCATTGAGCCACAGGACCAGATGCGCGTCCCTGCTGTGATCTTGAGCAGGGCAACAAAATTGTGTTTTGACATGTTCCAAGCTGCATCATTGGCTCATGCTGTTCAAGCTGACGCCAGTTTTTACGCTTCAACGCGCCGCTCACGAAAGCATCTCGCGCAGCTCAGCCAGATCTGGCGCTGCTCATCCGAAATAGGGATGTGGTGGGCACTTTGCTTGGTCCCACAAAGGAAGTGACCTGCGGTCGCATCGTTCTTACGATGGACTATCTTGCTTTTGTTATGGATCCAAAACTGGCCGTGCGGTTCAGGGTCTTCTTCGTCCGGTGGTGCTAGGTCAACAACGCCTAGTGAAGAAACTTCAGATTCATTTTCTGAATCAAAATCATGATCTGGCTCGTCGATTGGTGCGACGTTCGTACACTCAAGCTTGACAGGCTCAGGCTCTGCCTCAGGGATGGTGAGGTCGATGGTAGGTCCTGATCCAGCCTTCGGCCACCTTGCACTCCTAACTGCATCAGGGACGAATTCACCTTTGGTGATCTTTTCAAGCATGTCCTCAAATGCGTCAAGTGCGCCTCCCTGCAAGTCCCTCGAATAAAGAGCGCTGGTGGTTGAACTCGACCGACTGTGTCTGCCTAAAATCTCACGATTTTCGAGCAGCGTGCCCGCCTTTGCAGCCCAAGATAAACAGGTGGCTTTGAGCGAGTGAGAACTGATCTTTTGTCCTTCGTTCGGGTTCAAAAAAAAGTTCAAAAGCCTGGTGACTTCATGACTGCTCACCGCCACATTCACTGCGTTACCTTTGATGTCCAAGGCTGGGAGGACGGGACGCAAAGGCACCTTCTCCAAGTCGAGGCTGAGTATTTCGGCAGCGCGCAGCCATGATTCAAACCAACGATGCTTGCTCAAGGATCGTGTCGGGATGATGATGGGAAGCAACATGTTTCGTTTCCCCATGAGTCCAGCTGTTTTGTGGATGCTTGTTCCAAATTCAACAAAGCAAGGATCACTCAGGTCGAGGCATTCCACCCACGAAAAACAAGACCATCTGCACCTTCCGAGTAGGGCCAGTATCAGACAGCCTGCCGCAAAACGGTCATAATGCCCAGGTGCCTCACAAGCAAATTCTTCCAACACCTTCACTTGTTCAACCGTTAGAGGTGACGCCTGAGCAATGAAGCCCTTTTTGGCCAATTGTTTCTGACAAGAACCATGTATGCGTTTCGAAGCCGGGATGGATGCATCGATGTCAAAACCCACGACGTGGATGGCAAAATTGATGGCCTCCCTGAAAGACGAGCCGGCTGATGCCCCGGCACAAGTGTCGAGATATTTGATGTATTCATATGTGATGGACTCGGACATTGGGAAGGGCTGTTGGTGGCACTTCTAATATGGTTAACTCCTCCGCCATTGGCATGCACCCATTGTAGAGAGCAACAGTCTGCAAAGGCTTTGTATCCAAAATCAAGACATCCTGGCACCGTTATGCTGTTAAGCAAATGGCGTCCGCGAAAGGTGCTATCTTCAATGCGCACAACTGTGCTAGGCATCTTGACAATGCGGAGGTGACGACAGTTCTGCCAGGCCCGCGCTCCAACTGCACGTATGCCTGCCTCAACGCTAACATGTCGTATTTTTGGCACTGCTATGAACGCACTGGATGGGATGATCCCCGATTGGTTGGCTGGCGCTTTGACCGCCTTCGGGATGTCTCGATACGGGCATCCATCGAAAGCCTCTTTGGTGTGGAAAGCTTCAAGGCAATCCCGAAACACAATGGTGTAATAAATGCGGTCTTTCAGGAACTCTTGCGTGGCTGGATGCACGAAGTCCACTTCGCAACCAAAGACATCTACATCCGTGACTGAGGCAAGGTGATCCACAATATGCTCTTCAAAGTCTTCAAATCTGTCATGTTGAGCAATGCTAGTGGACGCCTGGACTTCTTTACCGGACAGCGTGGTGAGCGCTAGCCGGCAGTCCATGGTTGCTTCGCTCTCTTCTGAGCTAACCGTGCCCGAAAACCAAGGAGTCACCATTGAAGGGGTAGCCTGCTGAGGATTTCGCCGTCATTCTATTCCCTTGCTTCTCCTATATTGGGATCAAAGTTGAATCGCCCCCCCTGCCTTTTATCGTCTTAGTCATGGAAAGCTTGGAC